TCAAGCTCTATTATAGAGCTATAGTCCTGAAAACAGCTTGGTATTGGCACAAAAATAGACAGGTAGACCAATGGAATCAAATTGAAAACCCAGATATTAACCCACACACGTATGAACATCTGATCTTTGACAAAGAAGCTAAAAATATACAATGGAATAAAGAAAGCATCTTCAACAAATGGTGTTGGCATAACTGGAGGCTGGCATGTAGAAGAATGCTGATCCATGCTTATCGCCATGCACAAAACTTAAGTCCAAATGGATCAAAGACCTCAACATAATCCAGCCACACTGAACCTCTTAGAAGAGAAAGTGGGTGGTACCCTTGAACGAATTGGTACAGGAGACAGCTTCCTGAACATAACACCACTAGCACAGACAGTGAGATCAACAATTAATAAATGGGACCTCCTGAAACTGAGAAGCTTCTGTAACGCAAAGGACACAGTCAGCAAGACAAAAAGGCAGCCCACAGAATGGGAAAAAATATTCACTAATCCCACATCTGACAGAGGGTTGATCTCCAAAATTTACAAAGAACTCAAGAAGCAAGTCTCCAAAACATCAAAGGACCCAATTAAAAAGTGGGCTGCAGAACTAAATAGAGAGTTTTCAATAGAGGAGTCTAAAATGGCTGAGAGGCACTTGAGAAAGGGCTCAACATCCTTAGCCATCCAGGAAATGCAAATCAAAACAACTCTGAGATACCATCTCCTGTCAGAATGGCTAAAATCAAAAACACCAATGACAATTTATGCTGGAGAGGATGTGGTGAAAGGGGGACACTCCTCCATTGCTAGTGGGAGTGGCAACTGGTTCAGCCACTTGGAAATCAGTATGGAGATTCCTCAAAAAAATGGGAATAAACCTACCACAAGACCCAGCAACTCCACTCTTAGGCATATATCCAAAAGATGCCCATTCATACAACAAAGATGTCTGTTCCACTATGTTCATAGCAGCATTATTTGTAATAGCCAGAACTTGGAAGCAACCTAGATGTCCCTCAACCAAAGAGTGGATAGAGAAAATGTGGTACATTTACACAATGGAGTACTATTCAGCAGAAAAAAACAATGGAATCTTGAGATTCGCAGGCAAATGGATGACACTAGAAGAAACCATCCTGAGTGAGGTAACCCAGTCACAAAAAGAGAAACATGGCATGTACTCTCTCATATATGGATTTTAGACATAGATCTGGGGAGTGCCAGCCTACAATCCCATGGCCAAAGAGTCTGGGAAACAGAAACTGCATTTAGTGGCTGATCGAAGAAGAGGCAGACTCCCTCGGTTAAGTACTGAGCTGAACTCAAGAAAGCCAGTAACAGAGAGGGAGGACTGATAACCAAAGGGATTAAGACTGGGCTGGTTTAACCCCCAGAAACAGCTGACCTGACAAAGGTTAACTCTTGAATCCCAGGCATCATCCTGGGAATCCAGCATGGGACTGATCAAGACCCCCCTGAATGTGAGTGTCAGTGAGGAGGCCTAGGTAATCTATTGAGCCTTGGGCAGCAGATCAGTACCCATCCCGGGACTTTGGACTCCCATCCAACAATGTGAGGTGCACTCTCACCCTGAACTCTTGAGGAAGGGTCTAGGCCCTGCCCTGGATGAAATGACAGACTATGGACACCACCATGGAGGGCCTCACCCTCCCTGGGGAAATGAGGGGATAATGGAGGGGGTTGGGGGGGAGGGCACGGGAGGAGGGGAGGGAAAGGGAGAGGGACCTGGAACTGACTTGTGAAGCAACCTTGTTTCTTATCTAAATTTAAACTGAAAAATAAATAAATAAAAAAACCAAAAAACAAACAAAACAAAACGAAACAGGGCTGATACTGTAACATTTGCATGTATGGTAGTTTAAATGTAGTAATGTAATCTCATAGGGAGTGATACTGTTAGGAGGTGTGGCTTTGTTGGAATGGGTATGGCCTTGTTGGAGGACATGTGTCACTGTGGGACAGGCTTTGAGGTTTCCTATGCTCAGGATACCGCCCAGTGTCTCGGTCAACTTCCTGTTGCCTGTGAGATGTAGGACTCTCATCTATGTCTGCCTGTACACTGCTATGCTCCCCACCATGATGAAAATGGACTGAATCTCTGAACCGAAAGTGAGCCATCCCAATTAACTGTTTTCATTTACAAGAGTTGCCATAGTTGGGGCTGGAGAGATGGTTAAGAACACTAGTTGTTCTTTCAGAGGACCTCAGTTCAATTCCCAGAAACCACAAGATGGCTCACAACCATCTGTAATGAGATCTGGTGCCATCTTCTGGTCTGCAGGGATACATACAGAGAGAACACTGTATACACAATAAATAAATAAATAAATAAATAAATAAATAAATAAATGCTAAAAAAAAAAAGAGTTGCTGTGGTCATGGTGTCTCTCCACAGCAATAAAAACCCTAACTAAGGCAGAGTGACTTGCATCCCAGCACTTGGTTTATCTGTTAAAGTCACCATCAGTAGGAGCTGACAAAGTGCTTATCTAATGAAAAACACGGGGTATAGCTGGGTCTACTTTCCAACTCCTCACCTTTTGCTTTCTCATACAGAGTACTAGCACACAGGGTAAGTAAGGCTCAGCAAAACCCAATAGCAGCAGCTCTTCATCAACCCAACTATGGAAACAGTCAATAGCAGCAGGTCTTCATCAGCCTAACTACGGAAACAGTCAGGAGAAAGGACATTTAAATTCCAACTCCTTGCTTTCGGTTGTCTCAAGAATTGGTTTTCAAAACAATCCTAATATTAAAAACATTTTAGAAAACAGAAGTTGAAGAGGCTTGCAGTGTGTGAACGAACCGAATGATAACAACAAATTGATTTTAGTAGAAGAAATTGAAATACGACACCTGCAGCAGTGTTTAAACCTGGATGTGTGCAAACATCTATATCTCTGTGGCTGAATAAAATCAACTTCAAGCTCATTTTAAAATACTCAATTTGAAAAAAAAAACCCAGGCAATTCCAGCTAAGGCATATTTTTCTGAACTGAGCATGAGGACAATTTATCATTTTCATATACAAATAAAGAAAACTTTATCGTTTACTACCAAAGTCTGAAGAAACCAGAACATCTTAAAAATAGAATAAATACAGTTTTCTCTTGTTAAATAACTTGGGGTATTATTTAACATGCTATCTCATAGTTTTAAGTTCAGATCATAAAAGTTTCCAATTGTTAAATGAAGCAAAACTGTATTTTAGGATATTTGGACAGAAAGGGGCAACTTTTCTTTCATTTAGGCACAAGGCAAATATTTTAAACTGGTTCAATTAAGAATGTTTTGTTCAGCAAATACAATTACTATGGCTGATAGTTACAGGATAATCTAAAAATAAGAATGAGCTACATTTTTAATTTCACGGAATAAATCACTGTAAGTACAATTTGCATCCACAATAAAGGAAGATAAGATTTAAAAGTTCTTTTACTGAGAAAAGAATGCTCCTGAAACAATGTATCCAACAATAAGAAGATTAAATAATATACATTAGCAAAAATAAGAAGAAACAATTGTGCTGCTTATAAAAATGTAAACCAGAAGCCAATTCACCATAGAATCTTAAATACCAGCATCCCAGGGACACTGCAGTTTATTGATCTATAGTCAGATCTTTTGGCCAGGTGTTGAAGTGCACATATAAAATGTTACTGCATTCCTTACCAGCAAAGAGAATACCAAATTAGTTTCAAAAATCCTTTCTGACAAAATAATGAATTCCTCTTCCTCCCCTCTAACAAAGGACCTTGCTAAAGGGAGTGGGGGAACCTTCACAATAAATAAATAAATAAAGCAAACCAGATACCTCCGGCCTCTCTGATGCTGCACAGCTTGACAAGCCGTTTGCATGAAAATAATTCCCTTCAACTCAGGAAACTCGAGGACCTCAAGGTAATCCTGGACAACTTTCCAGTCTGGGATCACATAATGAGTCACTTCAGCAGACAAGAGCTTCCCATCTGAAACATAATTCAGAGCGGAAGCGATTAGGCAACATTTTCAAACCTGGTTTATGACTATTTCAATGTCACAGTGCCCCGGGTGTGCAAAATAACTTCTCATCTTAATTTCACCTTGAAGTTTTTAAAAGACAAGACAAATCTACTTTGGTAGAGGCTCCAAGTCCAGAGTAGATTCACAGCCACCTTCTCTCTCTCTTTTGAAGTTGTGATTAATGCAAGCCCGACATGGTTTATACTATTGCCAGTACTGCGGGAGAGGGTGACTGGTATTTTAAGTGTACTCGGCAGAAAGCTAAGTTTCTATTAACTCATCACTGACATGCATGAACATTCTGATGAATATTTACATATCCATTATATACCTCCATCTACATAGACACACATAGGTAACTGCACGGGTAATACATGTGTGTATTAGCTACTTGTATGTACCTAAAAATTCCAAAGTTACTCTGAAGCTTCTCGACATGGCTGGCTACAAGGCTCTAAGACAGTGATTCTCAACCTTCGTGGGTCATGGCTCTGGGGATGATCGCATATCAGATATTTACATTACGATTTGTAACAGTAGCAAGATTACAGTTATTAAGTAGCAACAAAATAATTTTATGGTTGGGGGTCAGCACAACATGAGTAACTGTATTAAAGTGTTGCAGCATTAGGAAGATTGAGAACCACTGCTCCTAAGGGTTGAAGAGAATGTACTAGAAAGAATGGGCAGTGTAGTCAGCTGTTTCGTCAAGCTGTGTCCTTAATCCTATATTCTGAAAAGACCACCCATGCTCATCTCCCACTAGGGCTAACATACAGCAACCCTACAGCCTAAAAAAAGGGGGGGGGGGGGGAATCTGGTCCCCAGCAGTCCCCAACCCGAGTCTCCTACAATGAAGAAACTGTCGTGCTGGAGGGTCTGCATTCTGGCAGGAGCAGAGCAGGCCAAGTCACCTGCCCAGCAGTGCGCTCAGCAATCAGACCGGAGCTGCCTCTTTCGAGCGAGCTGGCCTTGCCTATCTCACCGCCTCCGAGCTGTGGGCGGAAAGAGGGAGGCGCCATAGGCCTTTAAGGTAGCCTTTAAGGTCCCTAGGAAAACCGAAGCACCCTGAGCCTCTGAGCCGAGGGAACGCCAGGCTCGTTTCGGCGCCCCCCCCCCCATTTGACGCCGCCACTGCTGTAGATGAGTCCCGCGAGGGGCGCCCCCGAAGCAGCAGGAGGGCGTCGCCTGCTTCCCACCCGCAGGAGGGACTACACGACACGCAGAGGACGCTCCGGGCCGCCTCCCGGGCTGCCCTGGTTCCGCCAAGCCCAGGTTGTGTTTGCTCGCTCTGGCTCCGCCCTTGACGCCAGGCCAAATCTGCCCTCGTTACTCAGACCCCGGCTCTCCTCTCTCCGTAGGTCCCGGCTCCCTTCACTAGTGCTCGGTCACCATCATGACGCCAGGCCCGGGCTCTTTTTTGCTCCTTGGGCCTCGGCCTCCTCTTTCCTTCGGCCCCAGCTCGCCTCTCTCCTCGGGTCCGGCTCCCTTCGCTCGTGCCCGGCAGCCCTCGCTACGTCAGGCCCAGGCCTCCTCCTCTCCTCGGGCCCCGGCCTCCCTCGCTCCTCGGGCCCCGGCCTCCCCGGTCCCTCCCGGCCCTGACCGTTGAGGCAGGCGGCGGGCTGCGGGCAGAGCGGGCTGTTGCAGGGCACGCTAGGCCGCAGGTAGTGCTCGCGAACGATCCGCAGCGTCCGGCCCTGGAAAGTCCTCAGCAGCAGCACCTTCTCCCGCTTCTGTAACATGCTGGTGCCTTCGCCCGGCACGGCGGCCGGGAAGCGGCGGGCGGCAGCGGGAGGCGAGGCCGAGGCTTGGGGCCCGCCCCTCGGGCCCGGTCGGGCCGGCAGCGGCAAGAGCGGTCCCGGCACCGGGAACGACCTCTCTGGGCCTGAGGGTCTGCCTGGCCCAGCCCAGCCTGCGCCTAGATTCCTCTGTAAGCCTTAGTTGCCCCTGAGCCGGGAAGAGTGTATATAAACTGTTGACCCCCAAGGACCAACGGGCATGACGGTAGGGTGTGATAGCTGGTCTAAAAGTCCCGAGTGAAATGGTTATTTTACTTTGTTTCTACCCACAGGCCCGTGTGGGAAGGGCTGCCATATTAACGGGTAATAACTAGAGTTTTCTTGTCCTTGCTTTTGCAGTAACTAAAATAATCAAAAGGCTCAGCAAAGCTGGTAACCCTGCTGGCCAAACATGTTTTCCCCTTCAAAATGTGCTTATTTTAAATTTTAATACAGGCAAACATTCAAACACTACAGATAAAATAAAAGCCAGTCCTTCTGGGGTAAACACTCTACAACTTTTATAGCGTTGACAGCCTCTGGCATAGAAATTCTTAAAACTGCTATTGACGCGATCATTAAGTACTATGCTTGTAGCTCTTGACAAAAAGGACAGTATCTTGGACGACCACACACCCTTGCTTCTCCAAGCACTCAGCCCACTGAAGCTATGGTTAGCAGCTTCACACACAAGAGTCTCATTTAGTTTCCACAAATCAAAGGAGTGGGCGTTTGTTTGTATCCCCATTTTGCAGGCTGTGTGAGGCTGCATTAGGGAGCTTAAGTGGCCAAGGATACCTAGTTATTAAGTGACAGAACTAATGTTAAGCTAGAAACTGGTCAACTCCAAGTTTTTTTTTTTTTTTTTTTTTTGGTTTTTTTTTCAAGGCAGGGTTTCTCTGTATTGTTTTGGAGCCTGTCCTGGAACTCTCTTGGTAGACCAGGCTGGTCTCGAACTCACAGGAATTCACCTGCCTCTGCCTCCCGAGTGCTGGGATTAAAGGCATGCGCCACCAACGCCAGGCCCAAAGCAAGTTCTTAAGTACCATCTATTCACAGGTGAGAAAGCCACAGGGCCTGCACCTAAGGAATTTACTGCTTGGCAAGCTCTGGTTAAGCTGACTGGCCCAGCTGGCTGGAAACACAGGGCTCTAACAATGTTGCTGAATTAAACCAAGTCTAGCCTCTCATTTCACCCTAAGGGATTGCATAAAGAGTCATGATTCCCTCCTCATTGTTCCTCCTTGTCAAGTTATAGTGAAACTCAAGGTGAACTTGCACAAATGGGAAACCAGTATAGAGCTGGTACACAGGCAAGGAGGGTCCCAAAAGCTATCCTCAACCATTATATATGTAATATATGTGGATATTATATGAAAATGTATCCTCTAACATGGGAGTTAGTTCCAGAGTGCCCAGAGGACAGTGAGTAGCTAAAATTGTTCCCGATATAAAAATGCTTTTGACAATTGTCTACAAGTCCCTCTGCAGTTCCCTTTCTATCTTTTTAAAGTCTCTGATTCTATGGGACTAGAGGAATGACTTTGATTAGGCCCTAATCTGCCCTTAATATCTCTCTTCAGCACTTTGTGGCTTGAAATTGTCTGCAAAAGAACGACCCTTTAAGGAATAGAGCATATCTAGGGTTCTACCGAGAGTTGATTTTTATCAGTATTTAAAATAAGATTGGGGATATAGCTTAGATGGTAGAGCTCTTGCCTAGCAAGCACTAAGTTCTATCCTATGCACCAAAAACAAAAAACAAAAAACAAAAAAGCCAACTAGGTGGGGTAGCACACAGGCCTACAATCCCATCGCTTGAGAGTAGAAACCATAGGATCAAAAATTCAAGGTTCAGTTGGAGGGATGGCTCAGTGGTTAACAGCACTGGCTGTCCTTTCAGAGGACCCTGTTTCAAGTCCCAGCACCCACATGGCAGCTCACAACTGTCTGTAACTCCAGTTCCAGGGCATCAGCAGGAAGTGTGTTCTTCAAGGTCTGAAGGCAGGCACCAAGAACCAGTTAAACCAGCAACTTACCAGAATGAGCCCTTAGCCCTAAATGAGTCAATCCATTCCATCACCAGCTTCACCCTAGTTATTTGGGACAGCTTTAGCCCAGCTCACCGTCTATCCTTTGCTTGGGCGTTCTAACTCTTTTGGCATAAACCCCTCCATAAGCCATTAAGCCAAGTGAACCACTGCACACTTGGAATCCATACTTAGCATGCTTCAGTATGTGATCCCTTATGGTAGATAGGATGAATTGCCTTTGCCAAATTCTTTTGGTTTTACGAGACAGGGTTTCTCTGTATTGTTTTGGAGGCTGTCCTGGAACTCGCTCTGTAGACCAGGCTGGCCTTGAACTCACAGAGATCCACCTGCCTCTGCCTCCTGAGTGCTGGGATTAAAGGTGTGTGCCACCACCACCCGGCATCTTTGCCAGATTCTTATCCACACTGATGATCCATGGTGTCTTGCCTCACAAATGGATGGATAGTGGCCGTATGTCTGGGTTTCATTTGGCGGAATATAATAGCACCATTTCCTGGAATGGCTCATAATACTCCCTCACCCAACTCCCCACCTACATGTTTTCCCTAATAGTTGCACTAGCTAGATGCCAAAGCCCAGAAATTGGCAAACCAGCATTAAAGATGGCAGAGCCCCTGTCTACTTTGGTTCCTGAAAGACTGTAGAGCAGAGCTTGACCTCCCCCTTCCCAGTGGACTCTTGGACAGGAGAAGTAAACCCTTTCCAGGTCTGAGCACACGAGAACCCCAGCACTTGGCAGGCAGGGGAAGGAAAAGCAAGCTCAAGAGTTCACGGCAAACTGTCGTGACCAAAGTACACTCCCAGTTAAGAGATTAAGAGGGCTGGAGATGTGGCTTAGTTGTTAGAGTACACCAAGAAACTTGTCTAATACTTGCAAGATGGTGTTTAAAATAGACAAATAAGCTGGGTGGTGGTGCCCTGGTGCATGGCTTCCATCTTCCTCTGTCTGAGCACAAGTGTGCCTACACTTTGGACCAGTCACAGCACCCACAAGCCTTCTTACACATGCACCTTGGGGATGTAAAACCCAGTGTTTAGTGATTCATAATCAAAACCTCATCCAAGGTTAGCCTTGGGAGGGAGTAGGCAACTCTGCCGCGGACTGAGAGGCCCAGAATGGTAGATGTACAAAGAAATTCCAGAAGATGAGCTCATTACAGAAGCAAGCTTTGGAATATTCTGTGTCTATTTACTTATTGATTTATTTATTTTGACTATAGTACAACATGCTTACTGCAACACAGTCAAACAATGCAGCAGGATGCCAAGTAAGGACGCATACATTTTGTTCTCATCTGCAGTCTTCTCTCAAGCAGTACACTACTGTTGATTGCTTCTCAGCCACTTGGCTTATATCAAGCGTGTACTGTTGATAGCTTGTATGGATCCCAAGAGTTAAAGATAACCCAAAGTTTGCAACTCTGAGGGGCTGGGCAACCTGTGTTGTACCAGTTAATCACAGCGGAGGATTCTTGGCTTGTAACTGGAAGCCATGAAATGTTCTAAGTGCCTTCTCTTCTCTCTCTTCCTTTTCCTGTCTTCTTTCTTCCCTTTCTGTTGCTCTGATAAAATACTCTGAGGGGGCTGGTGACATTGCTTAGTGGTAAGGGAACCTGCTGCCAAGCCTGAGTACCCAGGTTTGATTTCCAGTACCCATAGAGAGCAAACTCTTGTAGGTTGTCCCTGACTTCACATGTGTGCTGTGGCACACACACACAGTGGCATGTGCATGCACACAAAAGGAGTAAAATGCAATAAAATACTCCCAACAGAAGTATCTTAATGGAGAAAGGGTTATCTTGGTCCACAGTTCCAGGAAGCCGTCCACCCTGGCAGGGAAGCAGGGTGGTGGGAGAGTGAGGCAGCTGGTCACCTTGTGTGCACAGCTGGGAATCAGAGTGATGAATGCTGGTGCTCTCTCTGTTCCTGCCCTCCTTTTTATCCACTCCAGCATCCTGGCCCAGGTAACGGTGCTGCCCACAGTGCGGGAGTCTTTTCACCTCAGCCAGTCTAACTGAGGTAACCCTCTCAGACAGTCCCACAGGCTGCTTTCCCTGTAACTCTAGAGCTCATCAAATTGACAGCTGAGGTGTATACGTGTTCTGTCTGCATGTATGCCTGTAGGGCAGAAGAGGGCACCAGATCTTGACAGATGGTTGTGAGCCACTGTGTGGTTGTTGGAATTGAACTCAGGACCTATGGAAGAGCATCCAGGGCTGTTAACCTCTGAGCCATCTCTTCAGCCCAGCCGTTGTATTTCACCTTCGTGTCTTTTCCGCTTTTTTCCTTTCTTCTTTCTTTTTGGGGGGCAGGGAAGCAGGGAGCAAGGCTGTCTCCATAGTTCAGTCCCCCTGGTTGAGCTTCCAGGTGTGCACTGTCATGCCCAGTGTTTTACTTGCTGGATTCTCACACTTAGTTCTAAAAGCACCATCTTGACTACACTACTGTTTGCAAATACATTTTCCAGGGAAAGAAATGGGGCAGGAAGGAGTGAATCAACCACCCAGGCCACAGACCAAGTGAGTGGCAAAGTCTGCTTTGAACCTAAGCAGGCTGGCTGCAGAGTGCCCATAGCAACGGCCCAGCTGTCCAGCCTTCTACTTTGCAAACATGGAGAGCTGTAGGGTGGGGGCCCATTCCGTATGGCAGGCCACAAGGAGCTTAGTGACAGGGTTACAGAATTGGAGACAGTGCCACTCAGATGTTGATCTAACTTCTGGAGCCTTAGCAATCTCATAAAATTATAAAAATATGCCCAGCTGCACAGATAGTGCTGAGTCCTGATGCTAATGAATCAATGGTTCTAATAGGTCATGTGGATGTGTACAATTACTCCATTGCCTAAAGAGTCAATGGCTTTCACTTGTACCCCATGGCAGTGGGGTGCAAATGGCTGTTGTGACAACTTTGTTACTTTTTTTTTTTTTGGTTTCTTTTCTTTTGAGACAGGATTTCTCTGTGCAACAGTTCTAGCTGTCCTGGAACTCAATTTGTAGATCAGGCTGGCCTTCAACTCACTCATCCACCTGCCTCTCCTCACAAGTCCTGAGACTAAAGATATGTGCAATCCCTGCCTGACTCCACTTTGTTACTTGTATTAGGGAAAATTTCATTTCCTATATGTTGGAGGTTAATATTGATCTTTGATTTGGCATTCAAAACATTTAAGGAACCCCAATAACCTGCTTTGCAATGATTATTTTGAGATGTTCTGCTAACTTGCTCTAATGATTTTACACTCAGGTCTGTCTCAGCCCTATTTTTACTGTATTGGTAACCTGATAACTCTGGTGTTCTACCACTAGGAGGTGCTGTTTCATTGATTTTTTTTTCCCATTTTCAAATTAAGTGCTTTACCTAGTCCCTTCCATGGGACTATCTGATAGTGAAAACCTTCACCTTTCACATACCACTGTTAAAATGTATCCAATTATCGGAGACAAAAAGAAACAAA